ATTCTATGCGCACTACATGGCCGTAAGTCTGTTCTGTCCTCGGAGACTGAAGTCTCCGTACCTATTGGACAGGAGACTGGGTGGCCCCACAACTGGTCTGCTCACAGCAGAGAAGAGAAAATCCTGTTACCGAGTCCCTACCTCCCAGCCAGTAGCCAGCCATTGGGAAGACTGAGTTAATTTGTAATCAAATGGGCTTTGTGTACAAGCATTGGATGATAAATGAGTTTGGAGCAATGGTGAGGTGAATAATTTTCATTGGAAACCCAACTGCAAGAAGAAAATCCTAACAATATGGTACGTGGATTATACGGGGATTGAACCTGGGCCTCCTTAATGTGAACCGAGAGACTATTCAAATGATTTATCGTACGGCCAGCTAGTCAGCTACTGACTTAGCTATCCGGGCTTACTCAAAGACCTTAAGCATTGATGCTTTTGATGCTGGGAGCAATTATATTAACGACCTGGAAAGGAGATCCATTAGATGTTATCGCGTAGAGTTGCTGGCTGACTAGCGAAGACATAACACTCAAGCACACCGACCTACACGACACCTGACAGTCGTTAAATATTTATTAGTTTTACAATTTATATTCTGGACAAGACTGAGTGAGCATTTTTTTATATTTTAATGTGTTTGGCTACTGAGACACGGTTCGGATTGGCAATTGGTTTTATTAAGCATTTGCAGGTCGTAATTACAATTAATTATTACACTGTTACTGATTTACGCAATTTACAATCACTACACGCTAATCTTTTCAGTCCATCTGCAGTAGTCTTCACTTATTTACGGTATAACACGGGAGTCATACAAGTCTCACTGGATTTCGCACTCCCTATTCTCACTGCACTATAACACACATAAAGTCTTCAGTGCTGACTTCTCAGCTATCATTTACTATCACATATTGTACATAATATCTTCCAGTCACACTTTACATCCTCACAGACCGACCTCCTTTATTCTTCTGTATTCTGGTCCACCACTAGTTCCCATGAAGTCAAAGACACATTGCGACTGACGGTCAGTCAGTCAGTAAGTCTTGGTGTCGAGTCCCATCTGGGTCTCATGACCAGATACTTATTTCTGTTTGACATTTGCGGTCTTGCTTTTGTAGGGCACCCTCTCTGACGAGAGGACGGGTCTGTCTTCTATATATGCTGCCGGCCCTTGCCAGCGCAGTCTTTCTCCGGTCCGAGTCCCTTGAGACTCGCGAACATATTTTACTGTCTCAGATTTGAGACTTCCCTTTTCGTCGCCTCCTACGACTCGCAGGGTCACGGTGGAGCGGTGGATCGCTCTCGTCATGTAGCCTCGAATCTGACAACGCGGAAAACGTAGCTCGTCCTCATTGTTGCGTAATCGCCGTGTTTCAGAGGCGTTGCTAGACAACGCTACCGAGAGATGTTTACTGCAACGCTGCGTAGCAACCAGCGTGGTGGGGCTGGGATTGGCTTAGCTCGGCTCGACACGGCACGGCATGGAGAAATCGTCGCTTTCCTTATTGTTGCTGTCCGGAAGTTTATCCAAAACACGGGGCTGTCCGTGGACTAGGAAATCTCGCCCAATCCATATCTTCGCTCTCATGTTACAATAAGTTCATGCATTAATAACACAGAGACCGCTGGAATTTCAACAGGAAACACTGATCTTACCATCATCACGCTTGGTCACATGGTAAGGTGAAGGTAAAATTGTCCCTGTGCCTAATTAATTAAGTACCACCCCAGAAAGACGTATGAGAAGTGGAGGTATAGTTCCATCAGTCTTGACCTCGGTGCTAGCTGGAGGTGAGTGATCAGCTTCTCGCCCCCGCCGATTTACCCTCACGGAAAAGCACCAGGAACCAACTGGAGAGATGGATGGATGGGCCCTGGAGCTGGTCTGTACACTGTGGAGTAGAGTAATATTTGTTTTCCGCTAAAGGGAGTCGAACCCGCTATGTCGACTGAGCACGCGGTACATAACTTATTACGAAGTCACGATTTCATTGAATATCCTCGCCTTGAACTAGGACCTCTATGGTGTCAGACACTTCATGCTAAGGATGATGGGATAGCAATAAGCGCTAATCTCTGCTATGAATTTTTTTCGGCAAAGGGGACACTGAAATACCGACCCTAGCATAATATAACGATAGACTAGCAAGTGTTAGTATTTTGCACAAACAGCTCTTCATAACTTTCCTTATTTCCTCACTTTTACACTGGCCTTTAATATGCACGTATTCTGAAATCAGTCAAGTATACACAACTACAACTACTACTACTACTACTACTACTACTTCTACTACTACTACTACTACTACTACTACTACTACTACTACTAATAATAATAATAATAATAATAATATTAATAATGGGGACTCCGTTGCATAATCGGTCTAAAGAAGCCGAAGGAGTCAGAGGTCCTGCACAATATTCCATAACATGTTATGTTTTATTTCGATGAGGAGCTCTCAGACTCCGCTCAACCACAGTTGGAGGATCACTTCTTGCAGGCTGGTGGCATCAGCTAATTCAATATATTTGCAGCTACGTTTCATATCTAGACGTACGGTGCAGACAGGGACAAAGGGACAAATTTCACAATACTACTACTACTGCACTACTACTACTACTACTACTACTACTACTACTAGTCCGCATGCGAATTATACCGACCGAGCGACCGCCAACGCTTGCGGATAGAGGGTGTCGCGTGGTCAGCGCAACGGTTCCCCACGGCCTTTAATCTACTACTACTATTTTACCACTAGCTCGTCTGTTGGTCTTTTCTTGTCAATTTATTTTTGTGTCTAAAAATTTTGTTGTTATTACATTTTAAAATAATTTACCTCTGTTGTTTATATTACGTTATCTCCCCTTCTTGTCAAAGCCCAGCTCTCGCATTCTCATGACGACGTTGGCACAACCAACACTTTTTTGGTTTAACCGTCATTTCCTTTACCTTCTTACGTAATCCTTCACAGAGCTGTGCTAAATACGCGTACCGCTTGCTGTCACGTTACATAATAAATGTATCATGTTATGAAGAGTACAATCTTCCGCGTTACAACGCCATGCAGCCGGTTGAAATTTAACCGGCGTTTCGGAGGAACATATAGCCTCCATTTTCAAAATCGAAGAATAACCGAAGAAACCAGTGTCAAAGCAGGTTGCATGCAGAGCTTCGGAACTGAAGATGGAGGCGGCATGTTCCTCCGAAACATTGGCTGAGTTTCAACGGACTACATAGCATTATATCCAAGATGATAGTACTCTTCTTTCACCCCGCATAATTTGTTTTGGGCTCCGTGTTCTTTTCAGAACAAATATTGATTATTTCTCTGAACATAATTAGCGTGCTGGCCGTTATAATATGGATGAGGTGTGTTTCCTGGTAGGTATGATCTGATGATGTTATTTGCATGAACGTCGCTTTTTACAGAGATAAAGTTGCACTTAATGTTGCGCACATTATCTACATTAAGGCGCTTTGAATGTTACCTGAGATTTGCCGTAGCAAGATTACGATCTGCTGGGATGTCAGATTGGGCGTGAACATCTCCATGTTCATGGCAGAAGATGGACGCGGTCTGTTCCTCAGAAACAATGCTAACCAAATATTTGTCTTCTAGTACCGTGATGATGAAGGCATTAGTTACCTCCGAATCATTGGTAACCACCCACAAAATTATAAGGTGTTATACTTCAAAACGCCACAACATGAAATTTAATTTGTGTTGTTTGAATTTTAATATCATATTTGTTAGTCTTGACTCAGGTTTCATTTCAATACAAAAGTATGGACACTGTCCTCACATTTTTCCTTTCAGAGCTTGTTTCAGCGTTCTCGAATTATCATATATTCCTGGATACCCATCTGTATTGAGGCAGGATAGCGCAGTCGGTACAGCAACTGGCTACGAGCTGGGCGACGTTGGATACCGGTATAGTAAAAAAATTCTCTCTTCACCGCGTCATCCAGACCGGCTCTGGGGTCCACCCAACCTTCGAGCCAACGGGTACCTGGGGTAAAGCGGCCGGGGCGTGAAGCTGAGCACTCACCTACAGCTAGTGCCAAGATCCAGAAAATGTGGATCCGTACGTCTACTCCCCCGTACGTCTTCATGGCGTAGTGTTTAATTAGTTAAGCATAGGGGCAACTTTTCCTGTTACCAATCAGTAGTTCCCAAAATCATTTATTTGGTCTACTGAGTCCTGAAAACGGTTGGTTGGGAAGAGTGGGGAAACGGAACTCCATACTGACACCGCTGGTTGGTAGAGTGGGGGAAGTTCCCATTCACCTTCGGCACTCGGTCATTCAGTAGTCTGAAGCTCCCCTGATTTAGTGAGAAATTTACTTAAAATATCATTTAGCCATGTGAAGAAATGATTACTGTTCAACCCTAACGACATGTGCATCAATTACGCCTACTTGTCATATTCAATTCTCTTACAGACTTATTGTTCACTTAGGGTTAAAAAGCAATTCAGTGTCTTTGTTATCGGACAGCTTGAGGCACTTCCGGAGAAAGCTTTATGGTCACCTGGAGGGCAACGACTCCCACTTTTGAACAATCTGATTTACATCATAGTCCCACTCACAAGAAATTCCACAGCACAAGCATATTAAATGTGAATACTGATATATAATTAAATTTAACACGGTTATTTTTCAGCGGATGGTATATTTTGGTTTAAAGGTCACCGCTTTAGTTCTTGCGACTGATGTTTTCTTAAAAAATCGTTTTCAAAAAGGGAATTCTGTGGGTTTCTTTCGGACATTATATACATATCGGTGTTCACTTTCTGAGTGGTAAGAACCAGTTCTAGAAATCGAGGACTTGATTTTAGATAAGAGCCTTATGACAAGGCTTCTAGTCGTGTCTTCACATACGATACATCCTCGTCTTGCCTTCTCTCCCACCCCTTTGCATCACTCCAGTGGGAGGCTGGGACAAGAGCAGCCGGTGCAAAGTAGCGGGTCCCAGGGTCACCGTCAAGGTTAACCACGCGTGTATATAAAGTGCAAGAATTTGAGGTGTGGTCACTCAGTTACAGCCGCCACTGTCTCCAGCTCCACGACCGCAATCACCATGTACAGGCTTGTAAGTACTGATTGCTTCAAAGGAAAGCCCATCCACTTTCCTCTGTCACTTTCAGTTGTGATGCTACGAATTGCAGTGCAGTTGTTATAGCAAATAACATGTCATCACATTAAAATTCCTGCGATAAATTTAAAAATGGGATCCGATAGTGCGATTTTGTGAACATGGCTATGAATTTCCGGAAAACACAAAAGAAGGTATCTTGATCAGAAGAATAATAAATAAATCGCTGATGATAAACGTAGTATTGCCACTTATTTGTAACGAATTTTATGCTTCTTGTCAAATGAATCGCTTAAATGGTAAAAGCGAGATATCTTTTTAGAACTTGCTAATTATATTTTATTGTATTTAAAACATCTGTTACGCTTTCCTGCTAGTGCAGCAAAATGTCTACAGTTATTTGGAGAAATCATAAACTAGCCATAAACGGTTATAGTTTTCAGAACTGGAAATTGTGAGTTGAATTGAAAATACAGAAAAAAAATGCAAAATTCTTTGCAAAATTTAGCGGATAGAAGGTGTCGCGTGGTCAGCATTATCTAGACAATCGGATCATAGATGGCGGTAAGGTTGTCAGCCCTACGCGCCGGCCGCCCTTTACCTCCAAGAATATTCCTGGTACTCATTTCTGTTAGAGACTGAGCCGACCTCAGGGCCATAGTGCGGCTGGAAAGATGAGGTAAATTGAAAAAATCCACCTCAACGGGGTTCGATCCCGCAACCTTCCGGCTTGTAGCATAAGATCATATGCCTATAAAATTTATTTAAATGAGGATGCTAAACATGCACAGTTCATATTACGGAATACACAATATTGATCCAGTTACAACCGATAATTACTATGAAAAAATTAGAGTTTCTTGAGTTACCATGCGGTGCTCTCGATGCATGTTAATGGGCGCGGTTAATGAAGAATCTTTGAAATGAAACAGTTCTGCTCTCATGTTGTAAGAGTTTAATGATGATAACAAATTATGAATTGTACGCATAGCATAACTTTCGGCATATTTGCTCTGTTATTTCTTCCAGATTTTCACTTCGTGAAGGTTAATTGTGATTACCTCTCATAAATAACATTAAAAAGCGACAGGCACAAACAAATACATGAGTATAAAGTTTGTTTGAAATCAGTCTAATGTTCTTAGAGTTGTGAGATGACAAATAATTCCTGTTAACCTAATTTCCTTATTTTGAAGAACGAAAATAGGTTTATGTTATCATCTAGTTGTCTGTATGTCTGCATATATATCCGCCTATCCTTGCTAGGCAACGGCTCGGTGAAGATGTTCCCGAGGCAACGAATACACATGCTACAGTAGAATTGTTGGGCTCGTCGTTTTCTGTGCTAACCATGTCGTATGCGATTAGTTCTTCCCAGAAATTCTCGGTTAACTATCGAGGAATTCGCAAGATTCAGGGAAAAGTACACTGAGAATGAAACGTGTGCATCGTGTTTCTGTACAATGACTGCTCAAAATATTCGTCGCTCCAATAAATATTTAGAGAGTTTTGCTCGAGATGGGCCCAGAAACGCTTTAAGTCTTCTTGAAAAGTGTCCGCTATTGTTCCATTTTAAGCTGAAATTGTAATATATTAATTATATTTATTGAAATGTCCAATAAAGCAATCACTATAATCCGTTTAGCTCTCGGAGTTATGTGTGCACAGACGGACGGACATAATCCTGAATAGTGAAGCCAATAGGAGCATTCTTACAACTTTCTTTGCCAAGAATACGTATTTCTGAAGGTCTGTTGGGCTATAAAAGCCTTTAAAAGCACAGGGTTAACAACATTGATATTTTTCTTATCAAATATATGAACCTGTAAAACAGCCTTCATCCTCTGGTCTGTCGTCCATTAAATTTGCATGAGTCATTAGAAAAATCTCCCGGATGCTAATTGTCCGTTCTTAAACAACAATTTAGCATTAATGGAAAAGTTGTTTTTTCCGGCTGTATCCCCACAACTGCTAAGGCTTCTAGAAATTTTAAATCTTTCAGTTCGGTCGTTTAGATAAAGAAAATATTTGTTTGATAATTGCCTTCTCGGAGGCAAAACCGTAAAGAGAATTGCGACCGAAAGGCTTTGAAGAGAACGTGCATTAAGTTCCCCATAACAGTACAACACATTACAGAGAAGAAGGTTTTAATGCTTGAGTTCAACTTTATCTAAATTGTACTCTGGAAGCAAAGTAACTGGTTTCATATCCTGTAAAACAACGTAACAAGCAGCAATGAACAAATTCGACTCTTGGCCTTCTTGTATAAGATAAAGTAGGGTAAAGTTACGCCATTGTGAGTTAAGGGGGGTGGAGGTAGAGCTACACAATTCTAAATCTCAGCACTAGATATAAGAAATAAGTTGCAAGCATAACGCACCTGCCGCTCTACCCCCAGGCAAACAGCTCCCAGTGCCCATTATAGGAGGCTGGGTGGGCCCCAGAGCCTGTCTGGATGTTATACGTAGTAGATTTTTAAATCCATAAAGAATCAATCGACAGAGACCCCTGGATGGGGGATCACCCCACCGCACGGCCATCACAGAAGAATGAGGAGAAACATGAACCTGCGGAGAGGAATTCCAACTCGCAAAAGAAATAATTTAGTAGGACAAATCCGCACATTTCTTAGACAACAATATTACCGACTAAATCTTCGGTTACTTAACGAAAATGTTTAACTGATGAGGTTATATAGCATGGAATGAGTGAGAAAGGTAGTAATGAATGGTGAATGAGTAAGGATTTGGAAGAAGACAACAAGGTCAATTGTCCCTGTGCTTAATTCAGCACCACGCCATGAACACTTCCCGTGGAATGGAGATGTAATTCCTCGCAACTTTAACCTCCCCCCCCCCCCC